AAGGTCCATGGATCATCTTATTTGTAACAAAAGATAGTGATGAAATTATTGTGTAACCACTATATTGCCCCTTTGATACTCCAACTGTCCCATTAATGTCAATTATTTCTTCGTCGTCTTCAAGCATAACCTTGCCAATTAAGCCAACATAAAAGAACATTTTTAACTCTTAGTGACTTTTAGAACACAAACTTACAAGGGGAAAATTATTACGGATTTACCTTAGAAACTGTGTCTCCACCGTTCCAACCACCAGCCTTGTTAGAAGTATACAAAACACCCTTTGATTCAGTAGTGAATGTGAGAGAGTATATAAGATCACCATGATCAACAGTTATCATCTTTAGCTTATGATCTTTTTCAAGTAAGAAATCCCAATGATTTTGGGAATCTCCAATATCTTTATTTCCCCATGTTCCAACCCTTGCAATTTCGGGTGTTTTGAAGGAAACCTTGCAAAAAAGAACATGCAGAATGACACCTAAGTACCACAAGTAAAATAAAAAAGGTGTACAAAGTGAAAAATACAAGTGAGATGCTATTGTAATGTTTTGTAGAATGTTAATTATCATTAATGAAAACTTACCTGAATTTCAAATGCATTCTCAAGTTTTTCAATGACTTGAGCCATTGTTGGACGTTCACTTCGATTATTTTTCAAGCATTGATATGCAATAGCTGAGAATGTGTTAAGAGCATTCAACTTCATTTGCTTCCTCAAATCGGAATTAATGATCTCATCCAATTTGTTCTCTTCATACCGAGTTTCAGCCAATGGACCTAGAAACATTTTTCCAACTTCATGTGCCATCCTCCCACACATGATTTCAAATAGTACCACCCCAAATGAATATACATCTGATTCCTTTGTTAGAATTCCACTCCTATAATATACTGGATCCATATAGCCGAATGTACCACAAGCATTGGTAGCGAGAAAAGTGTATTGTAAATGTGCAGGACTTATTTTAGATAATCCCAAATCAGATACTTTTGCTTCCCATTCATCGTTTAGTAGAATGTTTGCACTCTTTATGTCTCGATGTAGGACTCGATGTTGTGGTCCTACATCATTATGAAGATAATTTAAACCGCGGGCAGCGCCAATGCTTATTTGGAGTCGCTGTTTCCAGGTGAGATTTAGGTCACATATATAATTGTTAAGGCTTCCCTTGCTCTCATGCACATATACAAGTACCTTTTCCTTTTCCTCGTCACAAAAACCAACAAGAGAGACAAGATTTTTATGTTTGTAACTTGAAAGCATCGTAATTTCCATCAAGAATTCATGATCCCCTTGATTAGATTTAGGATCTAATCTCTTCACAGCAAYGGTGATTTTACTATTAGACCATGAGAGTACCCCCTTATACACACTCCCAAATGCACCATCGGCAATGAAATGTTTTTTGTCAAAGTTGCTTGTGGCTTCTCTTATCTTCTGAAGTGGAATCTTTAGGTGTTCTAATTTTTCCATAGTAACAAATTATCTGTTAAAAGTGAAATTAGATTAAGAGCGAACAAAGATTTGCTCATCTGATTATTCAGATTTTGGTCAGATCAGACATTAAATTTATGTCTATCCAAAATCTTGTTAAATTCAATAACAGTAATATAAGAAGGATTAATGGATTATTGTAGACTAGTTGTTTACCCGCGCAATGCGGCGGGAGCAGTAAATGTAAACGATTTCGAAGCTTTGGCGGTTTTGTTATTTTAAGGATGATATATTTACACTTGCGAGATATTTATCCAAATTTTTACTCAATAAGCGCTTACCGGTAATTCTTAAGTTCTRGCAACTTAAGATATTACTTCTTTTGATCAAACTCATAAAAATGGTAAGTGCAAAGATGAAAAATCACATAGCAGATAATAACAATAAAAAACCATCCATCAAGAAGARAAATCAAAATAAACATAACTGATCCATGAAAGACCCCCCAATTTGTGTACATTGAAACATAGAATATGGAGAGCATGTAAGGCAAGGTAAAACACACATCCCTTCAT